GGATTACCAAATGCTGTGTGGTAATGACATTGTGTTTTCCTCTCTATGTTTGTCCCCTTCTGTGCTTCTTATTGGCCCTTGGGACATCGGTGACGTTTGGATGGTCATGAGTCCGTTTGAGTCAGTGTGTGAGTCTGTGTCACTGTGTTTGAGTCTGTTTGAGTCGTTGAGTAGTCCGTTTAAGCCTGTTTGAGTCCGTGTAAGTCTGTTTGAGTCTGTGATGAGTCCGTTTGAGTCAGTGTGAGTTTGTGTGAGTCTATGTGAGTCTGGTTGAGTTTGTGTGACAACGCGTGAGTCTATGTGAGTTTGTGTCAGTCTGTTTGAGTCTGTGTGAGTTTGTGTGAGTCTCTGTGAGTCTGTTTGAGCATGTTTGAGTGTGTGATGAGTCTGTGTCAGTCTGTGTGAGTCTGTGTGAGTCTGTKTGAGTCTGTGTGAGTCTGTGTGAGTCTGTTTGAGCATGTTTGAGTGTGTGATGAGTCTGTGTGAGTATATGATGACTCTGTGTCACTCTGTTTAAGTCCCTTTGAGTCTGTGTGAGTTTGTGATGAGTCTGTGTGAGTCTGTTAGAGCACAACATGGAAACAAACGTTTGTTGGAGGGAAAAAACAAAAACAAAAACGTTTGGTTGACAGGTAAGGGTCATTTGGACATGAACTCTGGCTATGACTTCGTAAACGACACCCGGTACCCAACCGTGTACGAATAAGGGCCATACGGGGGGAGGAGGGTCATCTCAAGTGTGTTACATTGCTTGTGTGAAGGTGAGATTCCTGTTATAAAAGAAAGAAAGAAAGAGAGAGAGAGAGAGAGAGAGAGAGAGAGAGAGAGAGAGAGAGAAAGAGAGAGAAGAGAGAGAAGAGAGAGAGAGAGAGAGAGAGAGAGAGAGAGAGAGAGAGAGTATGGACATTTATGTCATGTGGCGTGGTACAAAGGGTCTGAGGGCTTCTTGTCCTCCTTTGTAGCCATGGTGTTGAAGAAGGATGTAAGAGAGAGAGTGTGTGTGTGTTTTGTGTGTGTGTGTGTGTGTGTGTGTGTGACAGATCATGTCTTTGTGTGACAGATCATTGATTTTTGTAATCCTGTCATTAATGATAATGTATGACCCTTGTCTGCCGCTTCTGTTGTGTGTATCCGTCGTTTTTCCTTGTATTGTTGTATTTTATATGAACAGGCATCAGCTGGGGGGGGGGGGGGGGGGGGGGGGGGGGGGGGGGAGAGGGTGTCTGGCGGATTACGAAATGGTGTGTGGGAATGAGATTGTGTTTTCCTCTCTATGTTTGTCCCCTTCTGTGCTTCTTATTGGCCCTTGGGACATCGGTGACGTTTGGATGGTCATGAGTCCGTTTGAGTC